ACTGGTCACACTCACCACCAGTAAATTAGGAATCCAGCAGCAGGACTTGTTAGTCTTATTGATACTATTTATTGTTTGGAGTGACATTGTTCCATTTTATGCCTAGGAAGTTGGAAAGTGGTAGGGCATAAAAACAGGTAGTAGGCCAGCGAACAAGGCTGTTAGCCATGGCCTGTGAGTCAGTGAAAATGCAGGAAGATATGTGGTAGGGGTGATAAAGCCTTCCCAAGCTGTCTGTGGGAAGAAAAGAAGAGAAACCTGATCAAGAAATGTTGGCGACGGGGGAGTAGCCCCACAGATTACTGTAACGGATTGAACTCTGTATGAATGACATATATTTTAAAATAATTATTTATTTTATTTTATTTATTCTTATTATTTTAATTTGCTACAGGGCATGTGCACTCACCAGAGAGAGACAGAGACAGAGAGACTATAAGAACGTAAGCCACGGGGCCCAGGACTGGAACCGTGTTCGGCCACGTGAGAGTCCAGTGCCTTAACCATCTGCTGGCCCCTATGAATGATATTTTGACCTGAACACAGAAGTGTAAAGAAACGAAGGACTAATTAATCCAAGAGTAGGGCTAAAGGATCCAGGTGGGTGGAGTAATTTAGAAATGTAACACCCTTTGGCTAAAAACTACATAACGAGGTAAGCATTGTGTACCCCCTCCTTAGCACTCCTCACTGAAGCAAGGAAGGAGACTCAGCCTACCACTGACCTTAGTGATTCCCACAGTGTTTCAGACTAAAAGTTTTCGTTCAAGATCATAAGTAGTTTTCCATTTTAAATGCTGCCTTGGCATTATGCTGAAGAGAATATTGCAGAGAAGCAGCAGGGTGAGATGCTGGTTTCAAAGGAGTGGGTTCTGATATTCATTTTCCTTGGGGACACTCATCCCAAGTGATAAAATGAGTGACGGCCTTACTTGGGGAGTTTCCTGGCTTATACTATAACATATGAAGTGTGTATGTGTGTGTGTGTGTGTGTGTGTGTGTGTGTGTGTTATCTGTCTGTTTCTTTAGGTAGGGTCTCACTGCTAGTCCTTCTGGCTCACCCTCCTAGCTGGGACTTCAGGAGCGTATCTCTACACCTGACCTTTAGGTTGGGCCAGGAATCAAATCCGGGGAGGGGGATCCCATGTGATCCCAACCTGCAGAGCACTGAGTCTCAGCAGCATACCCCACTGAGGCTGGGCCTGTGTATGTGTTTTAATAAGAGAGAATACTTTTTTTCTAATTTATTTATTTGGAGAGGTTTTTGCCATAGGGTGCATGCGCTCACCAGACAGACAGAGACAGAGAGACAGAAAGCGAAAAATCACCTCCCCCAGGGAGGATGGTCACACCGCAATCCCTTCTCCTCCATTCTCCTCTCGGGATCTTGGGCATGCACACACACGTGCCCAGCGTGAGTTTTAAGCCACCAGGTCCGGGACATGAACCGCGGTCGACTACGTGGGAGTCCAGCGACATAGCCATTACGCTAACTGCTGGTCCACTTTAAAAAAAAAAACAAAAAACAAAAAACAAAAAACTAAGACTATTGAGAGTTTTAGATAACCTCCTGAGATAACTGGGTATGAAAACAGCAGGTGTAGAATTCACTGTGAGTCTCCATGTTTTACCCTCTGGGATCTGTCTTTGCGGGAAGTAGCTCAAAGCATTCAGCAAGACTCACACTGTATTGATCAAGGTAATGAGGTGCTGTCATGTTAAATCCAGGCAAGTCCCAGAAAACCCATTTGGTAGGTGTTCTCTTTAGTCGCTCTTAAGTTGTGTGATTAAACAGTGATTCTTGAAGTCAGAAACATGACATCTTGCCTTTGATTTAGAAGTTGGAAGAACAATATTTATCTGTAGCAGAAGCCTGGTATAAAATCCTCATTTGTCTTTGTAGCATTATCAGGTATCCAGAAGCTGTCACTATTACAGTCTATGTTTAGTTTTTGGCTTTACTGAGTAATGTTTGCAGGAAGGTTCAGTGTGTCTGTGTGTGTCTGTGGGGTGGAGCAATACTTTATCAGTGGTTTAATGACCATTTCTTTTAGTTTGCTGCTTTGTGTGATACTGAATCAAGGACCTGCCTGAGTATTTTTGTGGAGGTATTTTTCTCTATATGCATACAATGCAGAAATCTCCCAGCTGTGTTTCACGTACAGAAAATGCAATTTTTTTTAGAGAGATTTTTGCTATTGGGCATATATGCTCATTGGAAGGACACAGAGAGAGAGACAGAAAGCAAGAAATCATCCCCCCAGGGTATGGCCACACTGCAATCTCTTCTCTATTCTCCTCTCAGGATCTTGGGCACACATGCACACACACCTGGTGTGAGGTTTTCTTGTTTTTTTTTTTTTTTTTAAGAATTATTTTATTTAACTTCATTCATTCATTTATTTATTTATTTAAATTTGATCAGACAGGGACAGAGTGAGAGAGAGAGAGGGAAAGTGAGAAAACAAACTGCCAGCTCTGGGACTCAGACCACAGTTGGCCATGTGGGAGTCCAGTGCCCTCAATCGTCATGCCACCTGCTGGCCCCAGCAGTGTGAATTTTAAGTTCCCAAGTTTGGAACTTGAACTGTGATCGACTATGTGGGATTCTGGAGACATAACCATTATGCCATCTGCTGGTCTTGAAAATGCAAACTTTTAAATAAATAAATTTACTATACATTTTGACTATTAATGCCATTTATGAATTCAGCGTTTGATATAAAAATAGGACTTAAATAACTTGAGCTTTTTTTAACCCACATTTCTGCTACCATATATGTGGGGTTTCTTTCTTACACCAACCATGTCTCCAACCACACCAGCCAGGTTTCCTGAAGTCCAATGCTCACACTGCCTGCCTGGAGTCACTGTCAGATCCTACAGGCTAGGGGCTCAGTCCACAACACTGCCCTTAATTCAGACACCACTTGTAAGTCCCCGGCCTCCTGTATTTCTCACAAAATGGCTATAAACTGAAGGTTCCCATGACCCATCTCAGGTTTGATAACTCGTTAGAATGATTCACAGAATTTAGAATATTTTACTGTTACCAGTTGGATATAAAGAATATCACTCAGGGGAACCAGCAGTTAGCGTAATGGCTATGTCGCTGGACTCCCACGTAGTCGACCGTGGTTCGCGTCCTGGACCCAGTGGCTTAAAACTCACGCCGGGCGCGTGTGCGTGCGTGCCCAAGATCCCGAGAGGAGAATGGAGGAGAAGGGATTGCGGCGTGACCATCCCCCCTGGGGGGTGATTTCTCGCTTTCTGTCTCTATGTCTCTCTCTGTCTGTCTGGCGAGCGCACGCGCCCTATAGCAAAAATCTCTTAAAAAAAAAAAAAAGAATATCACTCAGAATAGCTAAATGGAGAAAAAGTGCATAAGATAAGGTAAATGGAAAGAGGCATGGAGCTTCTTTGCCCTCTGGACACATCACTCTCCATGTGTTCACCAACCTGGAAGCTCTCTGAACCCAGTTGTTTTGAGGGGTTTATGGAGGTCTCAATACACACACGTGATGATTAATCATTGGCTATTGCTAATTTACTCAGTCTCCAAATCCTCACTGCTCCCCAGAGGTCAGGATGGTGAGGGGGCTGAAAGTTCCAACCCTCTAAACACACAAACCAACCCTCATCCTGAAGGTATCTAGGGGTCCACCAAGAGCCACCTCATTAGCGTAAGCTCAGATATGGTTGAGAGGGGCTTGTTATGAATAACAGAAGACCCCTTTCATACCCATCACTCAACCGTTTCCAAAGCTCTTGTGCCAGGAACTAGGGACAAAGACCAAATATATATATTTCTTATTGCATTACAGTATCACAGACAATTTCTAGTGAATCATTAAAAATATTTCCTAACTTTGATACTTCATCATTTAACTTCATCCCAGTTAGCTATCAATGAATGCCTTATCCTAACTGTTTTATAAAAGCTCTATTCAAAAGAGATGGACATACCTTTCTGGCTTTGATGAAAGGACCACATCTGAATTTGAGGGCTGGTATTAATTAGGGTAAAGGTTCAAAGTGACTTAAAGAACGAGGATCGATTCTGTCTTACATAACCATTCAGAGCTAAGAGATGCAGGTAGCAGAGCAGCTTATTCCAAATAATCTTTGGTCTGAGGCATCCTTGCCCAATGGCATGGTTGAGGCTGAGTTGCTGAAAGTTCCAGTTCTCAAGAATTTCTCTTTTAAGGTTTTTGCCATAAGGTACATGTGCTCACTGGAGAGAGACCGTGAGAGGGAAAGTAAGAAATCACACTCCCAGCCAGGGGGATAGCCATGCCACAATCCCTTCTTCTCCAGTCTCCTATGATCTGGGGCACACATGCACACACATGCACCCAGCATGATTTTCTTTTTGTAGAGGTTTTTGTTTGTTTGTTTGCTATAGGATGCATGTGCTCGCCAGACAGACAGAGAGAAACATAGAGACAGAAAGCGAGAAATCACCCCCCGGGGGGATGGTCATACCACAATCCCTTCTCCTCCATTCTCCTCTCAGGATCTTGGGCACACACGCACATGCGCCTGGCGTGAGTTTTAAGCCACCGGGTCCGGGATGCGAACCGCGGTCGACTACGTGGGAGTTCAGCAACATAGCCATTACGCTAACTGTTGGTTCCCTCCAGCATGATTTTCAAGCTGCCAGGTCTGGGACTCAAACTGGCCGGCCATGTAGGAGTCTAGTGCTATAACCACCACGCCATCAGTTGGCTAGCAGTAACAAGAAAGAAAACATGGAGGAGACATGTTCCCTCCCATAAGGCCTGGACCCAGAAGTAGCCCACGTCATTCTGCTCACTTCATTGTTAAAATGTAGCTACACAGCCACTGCTAACTATGAGGAAGGGTGGGAACTCATCTGTATGCCCAGGAAAGGGGAAGAGTGAACTTTAGTAGACAACTAGAAAGTTCTATACAGGGCTAGCGCATTATTGGTTTGGTGGGCAGTGACCTTCACACATGGTTCTTGGTGTCGTTTTCAGGAGGTGCACTCGGTGTATAGAATTTTGTCTGGGATTTTGAATATTGGAAACATTGAATTTGCAGCGATTTCATCTCAACATCAGACAGACAAAAGCGAGGTGCCCGATGCTGAAGCTTTGGGAAATGGTAATTGTTTGATGCTATGTGTTGTGTTGCCAAAGAACACGTTTCTCAAGACTGTAAAATATAATGGGGTGGTTGCTGGTTCTTCTACTGGCTCTGGACATTTTCACTAACCAGTCTTTCCTGAACGAGGCCATGTGGAATATCAGTGTTCCTACCATTCGCTGAACATGAGGTGTTCTACAGAAAGGAATTCCATGGCAGGGGACTTTGGGGTGGTAGTTGTCAACCTTGGATGCTTTTGAAATTCATTTATGAATTTTTGAAAAAAGTAGGTAAGATTGGGTCCCACTCAGAATCCACTGAACCTGCATTTGTATCTATAGGACAGAAAGCAGGTACCTGTTTCATTTTTAAATTACACAGATAATTACAGGTAATTACAGTGGTAAAAGAACTCAAATCCTCAGTTATAAAAAAGCAAACAATCCGATTTAAGTAAAAACGTTTTTATGTTAAGCTGCAGTACTTTTTTTTTTTAAGTTTTTGCCATAGGGTACATATGCTCACTGGAGAGAGAGAGACAGAGATAGAGAGAAAATGAGAATCACCCTCCTCTTCTAGAGGGGTGGGGGGATGGCCACACTGCAATCCCTTCTCCTTCACTCTCCCTCTGGGATTTTGGTCCTTCTGGGATTTGGGGCATGCACACATGGATAACTGACGTGATTTTCAAGCCACCAGGTCCAGGACTTGAACTATGACTGGCCATGTGGGAGTTTCGCCTTAACCACTGTGCCACTTGCTGGCCCTGAGCTGCAGCACTCTTTAGGGCTTTAAGTATACTAATGTACTTTGTGACTACCTAAGAGGAGAACACAGTCCACTAACTTATCTGATAAAAGACCATCTCCTCCTCGTTCATGAAACACCTATGAAGGGCTTTCAGAACAGTTTGGGGGACATGTGTCCGTGTGGATGCTTCTTGGGGTTTAAATCCGAGCTCGTTTATCTTTGACTCTCATGTGCCTAGATAGAGCCTGGCACATAGTAGATGCTGAATAAATGCTGTGAGACTGAATGAATTCCCGGTGTCATTCTTTTTTTTTAAGAGATTTTTGCTATAGGGCATGTGTGCTTGCTGGAGAGACACTGGGAGAAAGAGAGACAGAAAGCAAGAAATCACTCCCAAGGAGGATGGCCTCTCTGCAGTCTCTTCTCCATTCTTCTCATGGGATCTTGGGCATGCATGCACATGCACCTGGTGTGAGTTTTAAGCCACTGCATCTGGGACTTGAACCGCAGTCGGCTCTAGCAACATAACCATTATGCCATCTGCTAGTCCCCCAGTGTCATTCTTACTCTTTGTTCCAGCTGCCTCTGTTCTCTGCATCAGCCCTGAGGAGCTCCAAGAGGCCCTCACCTCCCACTGCGTGGTCACCCGGGGTGAGACTATCGTCCGTGCCAACACTGTAGACAGGGCTGCTGATGTCCGAGATGCCATGTCCAAAGCCCTGTATGGGAGGCTCTTCAGCTGGATTGTGAATCGAATCAATACGCTCCTGCAGCCAGACAAAAACATATGGCAAGTTTCCCTAGGAAGCAGCAGTCTTGGGAGAACTGTCATCAATGGCTCTTAGAGTTTGCAAGGAAAAAAGCATTTGGTCCTCTCTGAGGTTTTCTTTAGCAAAGTTTTCAGGCTCTCTCCTTTAAACGGTGCAGTAAGGTCTGGGAGAGCTGGAAGTGTTGGCTGAGAGGCCAGTGACTGACAGAGCACTGAGGTGTGGGTAGGAGAGTAGGTGTGGCTGGGAACTGGGCACCTGGGTTCTCAACGAAGCTTAATCAGCTACATGTTCTAAGTCTGTTTCCCCATCTGTAGAATGAGGATAATACTACTGATATCTTCTTTATAGCGTTTTTAGAATAAAACAAGATGTTTCATAAAATGTTTTATGGCATGCTATATTACTACTACTACTTTTTATCTCCTGAGCATTAAGGATTTCCTATATTATGGAAGAATTGACAGCATCAGATTCTAAAAAAAGACTCTTCCAATGAAGCTTTGTGAGCAGGTAGTTGGAAGAATGGAGGAGCAACAGCTGCAGCCCCTACAAACTGGTCCTTCTTTGCTCTGTTTTATCTGTGGAGCTTCTGAGTATGATCTAAAGGACTTGGGAATACTGTTGAAGGACCACAGGAACGAACAGTTTCAGATACGAGCTGTTGGTTCCCTTGAAAGTGGCAGGACACTGCTTTCCACTAGTGGGTGGCACGCATGCAGATGCACACTCAGGCACATGTATGCTGATCATCTGTGATGAAAGTTTTTTTCCCCTGAAGAGTTTTATTCTCTCTTATGTAGTAATGCAGACGATGGAATGAATGTGGGCATCTTGGATATTTTTGGATTTGAGAATTTTCAGAGAAATTCATTTGAGCAGCTCTGCATAAACATCGCCAATGAGCAAATCCAGTACTATTTCAACCAGCATGTCTTTGCTCTCGAGCAGGTAATAGTGAACTCTGAACTAACTAAACCTGATTGGGGAAAGGTGTCTCAAGCTGCCCACATGAGAAGGAAAACATTTGCAAGTCAGTCTAATAAGTAAAAGGCTCTAGAGAAAAACCACTGGTAAGGTGGTCCTGTCAAAATAAATAGTCTAAATTTGGGCTGGAAAAAAAAAAAAAGAAGTCTTGTTTTCTGTGCCAAGGTACATTTCTTTACTTCAGTGGGTTTCGTGACAAGTGAATTATTTAAATGTTGCTTCAAAATGCTTTCATGCATTTTGCTCAAAATACTATTTTTTTCTACTTTATTTAACTAAAAATAAGTGTGTCCAAAATGACAGAATGATCTTAAATTGCGGACATACGTTTTTAACTATCAAACTAGCCATTCTCAGCCCCCACGTCCTGTGTACTAGATCCCACAGTACCTGGAGAGTGCCGCCAGGAAAAAGCTAGGTGTGTTCTTGGTTTTCTAGAAATTAAGTCTTTTCCCTGTGAATTTAATAGTGAGAAGCTAATGGACCCTGGAAGAGGGGCCCCTTTCCTGGGGCAGTGACCTATTTAGTGGTCTGCTCCACCCCAAGCTTTATTACACTTTCTTTTGTTTGAAGGAATTGCAACATGAAACATTCTAACCAACCCGTTGGGTGTAGGGATAATTATTTTCATATAGTGGTGAGGACACAAACTATGATGAGATAAATGCAAAGACATGGAGTGAAAAGACCAGTATTGGCTTTACCCCTGGAGCTGGGTCAGTTCGTGGGGCACTTCTCTCACAGCCCACCCTGCACAAAAATCTACTTCATTTCAGTCAGATTCCCTTCTCTTATTTCCCTGGGGAATCGGTTTTCCAGTTTTCTACCCTAGATGATTCAGAAGATAGAAATCTGCTTTCTTCAGGGTTCAAATCATGTTTGTCACTGCAGAATTTATTTACTTAGTTTTATTTTCTTTCCGTATTAGTCTCTGATTATGAGTTCCCAAGTCTATGTTTGGGAGCCATCTTTCATTAGCTTTAGCTACTTAGGCCCCCTGTAAATCAGACTTAAACACAGCTTCAACAGTGTCAGATGCAGAAAATCCCTTTACCTACACGTGGAACACACCTTTTCCACACACATTCAACGTTGCCAGATGTGCGACGTCCATGCTGAAGTATCCTGGAGGTACCGAGGCAAGTCTGGACTGGAGAGATTCACCGTCCTTCTCCCTCCAGATGGAATATCAGAATGAGGGCATTGATGCCGTTCCTGTGGCGTATGAGGACAACCGCCCACTCTTGGACATGTTCCTCCAGAAACCCTTGGGACTGCTGGCACTTCTGGATGAGGAAAGTCGGTTTCCTCAGGCAACTGACCAGACCTTGGTGGGTAGGTACCTTTCCAAAGCAATGCATTTGCACTTAGAATGGAACTTGGCTTATGTCATCAGATCAGTGTGCTTTAATGAATTTACCTTATGTATTTTGACTACCTGGTAAATATAGATATATATTTAAAAGTATAGATCTTTTTTTTAGAAAGATTTTTGCTATAGGGTGTGTGCACTCCCAGAGAGACAGACAGAAAGCTAGAAAATAACCCCCCAGGGAAATGGCCACGCTGCAGTCCCTTCTCCTTCATTCTCCTCTTGGGATGTTGGGCATGCACTCGCATGCTCTCGGCGTGAGTTTTAAGCCACTAGGTCCAGGACTCAAATCACAGTCAACCATGTGGGAATCCAGCGACATAAACATTACGCCATCTGCTGAGCCCCAGTATAGATCTTTTTTAATTGAATTGAAACGTCCTGGTAGAATTTGGGTCTTTTTCTAAGAATTATTTTATTTTATTTTATTCATTATTATTATTATTATTTTTCAAATTTGATCGGGGGTCGGGGTAAGTTACCTGCTGGCCTCAGAATTTGGGTTTTTTTGTTTTTTGTTTTTTTTTTTAGAGAGAGAGAGATTTTTGCTATAGGGCACATGTGTACTCACCAAAGAGAGACAGACAGAGAGACAGAAAGCGAGAAATTACACCTGGGAGGGATGGCCACACTCGATCCCTTCTCCTCCATTCTCCTCTTGGGATCTTAGGGGGACACGCATCCACACACATGCATGCCTGGCATGAGCTTTCAGCCACTGGGTCCAGGACTTGAACTATGGTCAACTACGTGGGAGTCCAGTAATGTAACCATTACACTATCTGCTGGTCCCCAGAATTTGTGTCTTAAAGCAAATTATCACCCTTCCTAAGCTCTCCCCACTTTCCTTCCTGCCAGCACAAATACTATTACCCTATGTTTGCATTTTCACACCTTCCTTTCTTGTTTCCCATAACCAATGCCTGCTTCCCCTCCCTCACGTTCCCTATCTTTGCCTAGAGACTCACTTCCCTCTAACCCAAGTTAGTGCAGAAGCCTCTCCCAGTCTCCTGGTTTCCAGGCTCATACTCGGGCATCTCAGCTAGCTTAGTCTTTCGAAAGTTGCCTTCTCGTTAGGTCACTGTTACCCGTGAGACGAGGAGGTGGCCCTCTGTTCTTTGCCTCTTGACCTCCTTCTTCTCAAATCTCCAGTTTTACATGACCTTTGTTCCTCGCTTTGATCGTGAAATCTTCAGGACAATGAAACCTCCGCCCTTGTATGCCTTTAACACTAAGCACAGTTCTCATCCCTGCCAGGTTCCAAACCACAGCAATACACAATGATTTGTTGCGTGAACCCTAGAAAATTTCAAGCCTTTTCTCCAGATGAAGAATTGATCTTTGGGAGAGATTCACTTCTAAGAGTCAAAATTGTTACTCTCAGTGGTTTTCCTTTTATCTGTAGTATTGTCCCGAGTTGTCAAGATGGATTTAAACCAGGGTTATCTGCTATCCACGAGACATTTTCATGATTCTAAAGTCAATTGACAGGGCCTCTGGTATCACCAATGTCCTTGCTAGCAGTTCTTAGAGACAGCAGAACATATCCTCTTAGGGCACAGCCTGACTGACGACAGCGCCATGCAACTAAACAAGGAGGCCGTCGTAAATGCCCTCGAAATGGGTGACCTTTCTCATACTGTCATACAGTGATATGTTAGGCTGCTCTGAAATCTCTTACTCTGCCTTGCTGATGGCACAAAGAGCGTGTTTTTATTTGAAAGAGCAAACAATTCATATTGTAACTTTCCAACTTGCAAATCCACGCAGATAAATTTGAAGATAATCTGCGATGCAAATACTTCTGGAGGCCCAAAGGAGTGGAGCTGTGCTTTGGCGTTCAGCACTACGCTGGAAAGGTGAGGCGGGCGATGCTTGTTAGGTTTGAATCTGACCGTGGGTAGGTGTCCCTAATGCCCTGTCTGTGCCAAAGCTAGAAAATAACCCCCCAGGGAAATGGCCACGCTGCAGTCCCTTCTCCTTCATTCTCCTCTTGGGATGTTGGGCATGCACTCGCATGCTCTCGGCGTGAGTTTTAAGCCACTAGGTCCAGGACTCAAATCACAGTCAACCATGTGGGAATCCAGCGACATAAACATTACGCCATCTGCTGAGCCCCAGTATAGATCTTTTTTAATTGAATTGAAACGTCCTGGTAGAATTTGGGTCTTTTTCTAAGAATTATTTTATTTTATTTTATTCATTATTATTATTATTATTTTTCAAATTTGATCGGGGGTCGGGGCAGGGAAAGTGAGAAAGAAAGTCTCCAGACCTGGGACTCAAAACACAGTCATTCATGTGGGAGTCCAGTGGCCCAATCAGTTACCTGCTGGCCTCAGAATTTGGGTTTTTTTGTTTTTTGTTTTTTTTTTTAGAGAGAGAGAGATTTTTGCTATAGGGCACATGTGTACTCACCAAAGAGAGACAGACAGAGAGACAGAAAGCGAGAAATTACACCTGGGAGGGATGGCCACACTCGATCCCTTCTCCTCCATTCTCCTCTTGGGATCTTAGGGGGACACGCATCCACACACATGCATGCCTGGCATGAGCTTTCAGCCACTGGGTCCAGGACTTGAACTATGGTCAACTACGTGGGAGTCCAGTAATGTAACCATTACACTATCTGCTGGTCCCCAGAATTTGTGTCTTAAAGCAAATTATCACCCTTCCTAAGCTCTCCCCACTTTCCTTCCTGCCAGCACAAATACTATTACCCTATGTTTGCATTTTCACACCTTCCTTTCTTGTTTCCCATAACCAATGCCTGCTTCCCCTCCCTCACGTTCCCTATCTTTGCCTAGAGACTCACTTCCCTCTAACCCAAGTTAGTGCAGAAGCCTCTCCCAGTCTCCTGGTTTCCAGGCTCATACTCGGGCATCTCAGCTAGCTTAGTCTTTCGAAAGTTGCCTTCTCGTTAGGTCACTGTTACCCGTGAGACGAGGAGGTGGCCCTCTGTTCTTTGCCTCTTGACCTCCTTCTTCTCAAATCTCCAGTTTTACATGACCTTTGTTCCTCGCTTTGATCGTGAAATCTTCAGGACAATGAAACCTCCGCCCTTGTATGCCTTTAACACTAAGCACAGTTCTCATCCCTGCCAGGTTCCAAACCACAGCAATACACAATGATTTGTTGCGTGAACCCTAGAAAATTTCAAGCCTTTTCTCCAGATGAAGAATTGATCTTTGGGAGAGATTCACTTCTAAGAGTCAAAATTGTTACTCTCAGTGGTTTTCCTTTTATCTGTAGTATTGTCCCGAGTTGTCAAGATGGATTTAAACCAGGGTTATCTGCTATCCACGAGACATTTTCATGATTCTAAAGTCAATTGACAGGGCCTCTGGTATCACCAATGTCCTTGCTAGCAGTTCTTAGAGACAGCAGAACATATCCTCTTAGGGCACAGCCTGACTGACGACAGCGCCATGCAACTAAACAAGGAGGCCGTCGTAAATGCCCTCGAAATGGGTGACCTTTCTCATACTGTCATACAGTGATATGTTAGGCTGCTCTGAAATCTCTTACTCTGCCTTGCTGATGGCACAAAGAGCGTGTTTTTATTTGAAAGAGCAAACAATTCATATTGTAACTTTCCAACTTGCAAATCCACGCAGATAAATTTGAAGATAATCTGCGATGCAAATACTTCTGGAGGCCCAAAGGAGTGGAGCTGTGCTTTGGCGTTCAGCACTACGCTGGAAAGGTGAGGCGGGCGATGCTTGTTAGGTTTGAATCTGACCGTGGGTAGGTGTCCCTAATGCCCTGTCTGTGCCACGCATGACATTGCTTGCAGATTTCTTTCTCCTTCTAGTTCTTCCTGAACAACTCACCATAACTCCCAAACTTTCTCAGTGGTGCTGCCCACAGAAAGTCGCTCTGGCATAGAGACAGTTTCTCACTGAGGTGGCCCACAGAGCTGCCATCTGCTTCTCACCTGAGGTTTGGCCTAGAAGTGACAGCTCTCCAGAGAGAAAACATATTACAGCTTTTCACAGCGTTTAACAGTGAACGTGCACGTTCTGAAGTCATTTGGAGACGTGTAGGTAATGGAGGAGGGTTAACAGCACAGTGGGGTTCAATTTTTAGCACTTTAAGCATATGTCTACAGGCCACCAAAAATGTCTAAATGAAAAGGGGAAAAAATTCACTCATCATCCAGATGTGAAACTTTTACAATGTTAACTAAAATTTCCATTTTTTTCATGCATTATGCTTCAGTCTTAATTTCAAGTTCCCAAAGCAGATTAGGGAGTGACAGATTCCGGAAACTCTAGTCCCATAGCCAACAATTTGGTGCTCAGGTTTGCTCCCAAAGGAGCCATTTGAGTTGCGGCTAATTGGTTCCTGTGAGGTCTGCTGCAGCCTTGCATCCAGAAAATGGGTAGGAGTTCAATAAAAGACATTTCAGCTTATTTTTTTTACTTAAGATGTATCAAATTATCTTTCCTATTCACATTGCAACATTGTAATTAATTTTGCCTAGCAGGATGCTACTGGAAAGGTAATTCTAATATTATGGCATGGATTGCTTCTCTCCACATAGTACTTTATGGTATCTATGCTATGTTTTTGTTACAAATTACAATCCAATTTTTGCCTTTAGTTCAATTTATATTAGCATTGGTGTCTGACCATGTATTAATGCCGTCCAGATATGAGATACCAGCATCCACCCTGACCCCCTCTCCCCGTCCTTCTCCTCTGCCTCCCACTCTTCTACCTCTCACTGCTCTCCATCTGTTGCTTCCTTTTATTTTTAAAATTATTTATTTAAATTCATCATCATCATCATCATCATCATTATTATTTAACTTTACCAGAGACAGAGAGAAAGGGAAAGCAAGAAAGCAACCTGCCAGGTCCGGGACTGGAATCGCGGTTGGCCATGTGGGAATGTGGGAATGGGCTTTAACCACTATGCCACCTGCTGGCCCCAGTCTGTCCTCTTTTACACCTATTTCTTTTCTTTCTTTTTTTTTGGAGAGGTTTTTGCTGTAGGGCACGTATGCTCACCAGGAAGACAGAGAGAGACAGAAAGACAGAAAGCGAGAAATCACCCCCCCGCCCCGCCCTGGGGGGATGGCCATGCCACAATCCCTTCTCCTCTATTCTCCTCTTGGGATCTTGGGCACGCACGCACATGCACCCGGTGTGAGTTTAAGCCACCAGGGTCCGGGACTCGACTACGTGGGAGTCCAGCGATATAGCCTTTACGCCAACTGCTGGTCCCACCTATCTCTTATCCACCAGTTTTCCCTCTTTATCTCCTTCTCTTTTCTTAATTTTAGGGAAAAGGATTCTTTTCTCTCTGGGCTCTGTGTTCTTTGTTGGATTAATTTACCATTCAGAGCTTATTCGTAGCTCTTATTTGTAGGGATTATTTGGTGGGTATTTAAAGAAATTTCTCTCAACTAGCTCCCCTCTGTGTCAATCCCGTGAGCATCTTGGGAGGCAGTGAGCGAACAACCATTGTCAGCATAGAGCCAAATTGCCTGGTTTTGTTGCCTGCCTACCACTTGTGAAATCTATGAGCTCTTTCTAGACTTCCATTGGCCCACCAGCAAAATGGAGGCAATAATAGTGCTTACATCCTAGGACAGACGTTTTGTGCCTAGTGAGAGACCAATATGATTTAATAATTCTAATGTGCTGTACTTGTATAGGACTCTTTTCCTCAAAGAGCAACTGGAAAAGAAGTTAAGATAAACTGACCTGCCAGAATTACAATGTTTTCCCCGTATGGGTGCTCTGGTTCAAAAGCGTGGCTATGTCAGGACGGATTCTATACAGAGGTCGATTAATGACTGACCAGACAACTTGCTACTGCCCCAGTGACGGGCAGTCGGCCTGGCTAACTTGCCGTTTGCTCTTTGTGTTGCAGGTATTATATGATGCTTCTGGGGTTCTTGAGAAAAACAGAGACACTCTCCCTGCTGATGTGGTTGTAGTCCTGAGAACATCAGAAAACAAGCTTCTTCGGCAACTCTTCTCAATCCCTTTGACCAAAACAGGTACCTGGGAACCCTCTGGCAGGTCTGGTACCCTCTGACAGGTCTGACCCTCTGATGCCTGCACAAGCCCAGGCAGTGTTTTCTAGTTAGTATCTAAACACCGCCAGGGCCACACTAATAGCCGTAAACTTGGGAAAGTAAGGATAAGGGTCTAACTAGGTTCAAGAAAAAGAGTGATTTTGTGTGTGTGTGGTTTGATCACACAGCCTCAGTATACATACATGTGTGTACATGCACACCTGTGTACGCGTTCCACATCTGCTCTTAGACGTCTCACTCTCTCTGCTTGCCTTTTTTCATTCTTCCATTTATAAAATCGTATATTATCATCAATTCATGCTAAACACTATAGGGTAGTCTCAGTTTACCTAGAATCATTAGGAATCATTATCATATGACCCCAAGTGAAGGGAGTGTGACAAATCAAAGACCATCTGATCATGGGGTTCTCAGATGTCACCTGTCCAACTTCCTACCCAGTCACTGCCCCCCCTCCTCTAATGTGGAGCAGGCCCATCACGGTCCTAATGCATGCCTTTACCCACTTATAGACAACTTCCACTTAGCTGCCTAGTTAGCCCTCGTGCCGTGAAGCAGAAAACCAGGGCCAAAGAACAGAACTTTGGGGTCTCTGCTGTCCTGCCTGTCTGGGAGTCTGCTATCTTTAATTGGGTGGCCAACTGATTTCTCTCATAGCTCTACTCGAAAGGTAGTAATATTTTTTTGAGGTTAAGTCTGGAAACAGCTGTGGGGATGCTTCTAAGAAAGGAAGGGGAGAAGGCTGATCCATGGCCCGGTGATTAAGGGAACCAGATTCCACATAGCCGACTATGTGATTTGAGTTTTGGACCCAGTGGCTTGAAAAACTCACCATGCACAAGTGCGTATGTGCCCCAGATACCAGAAGGACGAAGAATTGGAGGAGAGGGAATTGTGATGTGATCACATCCGAATGAAGGATGTTTTGTCCCTCTCTCTGTATCTCTGTCTCTCTGGCAAGTGCATGTGCTCTCTGTTAAATTTAAAAGAAAGAGATAGAGAGAGAAAGGAAGGGAGGGAGGGGAGAGACCTCTTTAGCATTGTTTATCCATTTTTTTCCTCTCCTTTCCACAACTCTCTAGAAATCATTGGCATCTGTGTCTAACATGGGATCTTTGCATGCTAAAAGAGAGTGGCTATGAGCTCTGATTTTAGCAACCTGTGGGGGAATGAAAACCTGGCTAAAAAAATAAAGCCACAGCCTACAACCTTTGCTTTCTCTTAACTTAGATGGAAAGTTGAAACCAGGCTCTTAACTTTCTTCAAATATGCTCCTATAGACAAAAATACAATAGCAGCAGCTGCCCATCAGAAGGCTGCTCACCAGTTTCTTTCCAGACCTTCCTGGGAGCAGCCAAGATTTAATTCTTCATGGACTCCTCGGAACACAGGGGTAGGTGTGGGCAGAGCTGGCTCGTCATGCTCATCGGAAACTTAAAAGGTGTACACTCCTCGGGCAACGTCGATATCACTAAGGGACATTCTCTCTGGAACAGTCTACCCAAATGACGCCTCATGGCATTTATTTCCTCTTGTAAATATGTGGAACGACTCCGCAGATTGTTGAACTTTGGAATTTCCGATTTTTCACCCATTGGCAGAACAAAAACTACTTTGCGGCCTGGGCCACTAGGTGTCGCTATGTAGAAAGTCAGGCTCTGCAGCAAGCTCCGCTCCCCCTAGACTCTCCTATGGAGGGGAGGAACGGGAACAAAGAGAGCCTCCGCGTCTTTTTCTTTTCATTTTATTTTTTGCCTTCTCCCAGAGAGCTTTCCTCCTGTCTTGTAACTTTCCGAATTTTGCCTTGAAACTGCACTCACACCACCTGGAGGAAACAAAAGTGGAAAATAAGGCTAGAAACAAACGTGATATCCTGACAAGCTTCCTTGTATTCCTGATTGCATATTATGCATAATGATTTCTTTGAAATCCTAAACTTTTCTTTACATGTGGAGTATAATTAAGAAACCACAGAGAAATGTCAAAACTAATAAGCGTGATTATGTTTTCTTCTTTTGGAATTTACTCTTGAAAAACGTATTCCATCCAGAGACATTTATAGAACAACTTCTAATAACGCGGCACTGTCGAGGCAACAAGGAGAGAACGTAGAGGCAACGGTAGTGTGGCTTTGCCCTAAAGCAACCAGAACTTTTTCTTTAGCCTTCACTTTTTAAACATTTTTCTTAAAGATTGTTACTGGGACAGCTGGATCCCACATGGCTGAAAGTGCTGTTCCAATCCTGTATCCAGCAGCTTGAAAAATGTGTAGGGCACATATATGTGTGCTCAAAATCTCAAGAGGAGAAGGAAGGAGAAGGGCTTGTGATGTAGCCAACCCCAACCCCAAGGGTGCTTGCCTTCTCCTCTGTGACTCTCCATGAGTGCATGCACCGATAGCAGAATTTAAATTAAAAAAAAAAAAAAGGAAAAAAGAAAGAAAAGAAAAGAATAAAGATCGTGGGCCAGTAGGTGCTGTGATGGTTAAGATACTGGATTCCCACATGGCCAACCATTGTTTGAGGCCCAGACCCAGCAGCTTGAAAATCACAACATATGAATAGACAAGTTAATGCTTTAAATAAACAAATACAAAGTAATTTTTAAAAAAAGATTGTTACTTTTTTTTTTCTAGTTTGCCAGAGCATAGCTGTGCTTGCCAGAGAGAGATACTGAGAGAGAGAGAAAGAAAGTGAGAAATCACCCCCTCATGGGTAGTGGTCACACTGAAACTGCAACCTTTTCTCTTCCGTTTCCCCCCTCCTTTTGAGATTTTGAGCATGCACACACTCACGCCCAGAGTGTCTTTCAGCCTGCTAGATCTGGGGTTCTAACCACATGGTTGGACATGTGGAATCTAATTACCTTAACCATCAGGCTATGGCTGGCCCATTTTGCCTTTCCATCTAGAATTGGGCATTAATTTATCTCCTGGCCATGAGAGTTGCAATCAAAACTCAGTTTCTAAGTGATCTACATCCTGTGTTAAATGTTGGAATGTTAATTGTCTAAACTATAAAAATTCCCATAATTGGGACCAGTAGGTGGCGTGGTGGTTAGGAGTGCTGGACTCCCTCATGGTTGACCATGGTTCTAGTTCCAGATCTGGTGGTTTGCTTTCTCACTTTCCCTCTGTCTCTCTCTTGCTCTGTCCTTCTCTGGTCAAATTTAAATAAGTAAATAAGTAAATAAAACTAGATAAAATAATTCTTTTTTAAAAATCCCCGTAATATATACATACATATATATATTATGGGGATATATATATATATATATATATATATATATATATAGGAGAGGTTTTTTTTCTATAGGGTGCATGTGCTCGCCAGACAGAGAGAGACATAGAGACAGAAAGCGAGAAATCTCCCCCAGAGGGGATGGTCACGCCACATTATATTTTTTAGCTTTCCTATATTACAGCCTTGAAGGTGGGAAACCTCCCTGGACAAAAATTGGTTGTGATGTTTTTGCTGAAATTGCAAATGCTGGCTTTGGGCGCTTACCTCTTATGAAGTACATCTTGGCATTCTTGTTTAAAAGCAAGGTCCCACACATCCTTGTGTTTTGGAAAAGAGTATGCTAATATTTTTGGTGAATGAGAAACATTTTTATTCTGACATTAAAGTTATATTTATCCTGCTTCAAAATCTTCAATAGCTGTTATATCAAAAATCAAACTGGGTACTAGTTCAGCGAACATAGATATTATGGACAATTACTTTATGAACCTTTTTTGGGAAATGAACTACAGGGAGGGGAAACGATCAAATTTGGGAAGCTTTGGAGGCTGTTAGCCCCAGCCTTACAAAGAGGCTCAGTGCTAGACTCCTCACTTCCATAGGAGAGGATGCTTGTTAAGAAGACTCCTGAGGGACCCGGTCGATGTGCTGACTCCCGCTCCTGGTGATGGTTACATGGATGTTTGCTTCTCGCGTTCGTGCTGTAAAACGCTGTTTATTGATGTTTCGGATCCTTTTCTGTATATCCACCCCACTTCACAGTAATATTTTTCCCAAAAGATAGAGAAGTCCCCTTAAAATGCATAGAAAACCTTTCATTTCTTTGTTGAAGGAGTCTTTCCACTTAAGTTGAGGTTTCCAGATGGCTAAACTGCTCCTGTCCTTTGCTTTATCAGAGAACTCCAGGCTAACTTTTCTGTCTTTTCAAGTTAGCCTCCTCTGGGTTTCTGGGCAGATAACAATCCCTTCATGAATGGATATCGGGAAACAATATTGGGGCGTGGTTTAATCTTTTATCGAAGTTGAGAGGATTAATGTATGTGTGTGTGCATCCATAATATGAAATGAAAGATAGTGATCAAACTGGCGTTTTCCTGTTTCTTGAATCCAGGGTACATCCTGGAGTACTGCTGTACATCCCAGAGTACTGAAGAGATTTAAAAATTTGGAGGCCCGACTGCAGTAGTGCACAGACAGCACCATTGCTAGGGAGGCTGGAAACCCCACGGGACGCCTGGGCTCAGTTCCCAGTGTGAACATGTCAGTTGCATGTGCCTGTGATCCTAGCCAATGGGAGGCTGGGGCAGGAGGACTGTGACACACTGTAGCAAGACTCTGTCAGAAAAGGCCTCTCGCTGTGTCTTTCCCTTTCCCTTTCTCCCTCTCTCCAAAACAAACATAGGGAATGAACTCATGAGGCCCAGAGTTGCAGGAGACAAGGCTCCTTCCAGGTTTCTGTAGCCCTTACCCAGGGGCCCCTCCTGCTGGTGCACCCCCATGTTTGGTGGTGGAGATGCCTGGACCTGAGATGCACATTCTCGCTCCCAGGTTCTCACTGACATCAGGTCAACAAGCAGCCGTAGTCAATATGGATTCTCTGTGCTCCTCTCTCATACTTTTTTGTTTGTTTGTTTTTGTTTTTGTTTTTGTTTTTGTTTTGTTTTATAGCTCTGTATTTCCTAAGGAAATATAATGCTTCTAGCTCTTTCATCACAAATT